ACTCAGAGAGCGTTCAGTGGATTCTGTTGTGTATGGCCCACAGTGGGAGGGAAGGATGTATTTTTTCATTATCTGCACGATCATCGTAATAGAGTATAGCAATTTGTTGCATTAGAATAATGAACTGAATGCATATTTAAATTGAACATCTGTACATAATACTACCACAGAGGCTATCTAGCATTCATAAATACTTGAGCAATAGTTTAAAACAAAAATTGTACGCTGGGACGTGAAGCAGAGGAGCATCCTCCCTGGTGTCCCCTCTGGTGCAGCAGCAGGTTTCCAAAGAACTGCCTAGGACACGAACTGTTTCAATCAGTACAGTTAAGAGGCTGTAGATGGTTGTTCTTCATCTTTGCGCTGGGGAATTACTGTATTAACACAGGCTGATGAGGAACAGTGGAACGAAATGAAACTGGAGCTACTTTGCTCTGAAACGCAGGCAAATGCTTTCCCAGTCTTAAGTCTACAAGCCCGAGTGCTATCGAAGCTGACTGTGCTTTGAGTGTGTGATCAGCTCAGCTCCCTTTTGCTGTTTTCTTAATATTTTCCAGAATGTAAATTGATTTTGCAAGTATTTAGACAAACACATTAGTCTTGCAGCGCTCGCAGTACTGTTATCGGAAGGGGGACCTTTATGGAAAAAGTTTCTGTTCTTCATGCCTCTGAAAAATAGGCTCTTCTCACATTTCTCAGTTTGAAGTACCCGTTGGATGCTTTTGCCTTATTTTCCTATGCTTTTGGTGATAAACTTGCATGACCGTGAAAACATTCCGATTATCTTCATATGAGCTCTTCAGTGGAAACAGAGCGCTGTATATATGGTGATATATCAGAACAAGTACTTCTGCTTTTCTGTATTTTGAAATGTGAAAACATCATTCTGAATGTGATCACAGGCTTTAGGCAATTCATTTACAAAGAAGAGAGAATTACAGTGGACATGATGTTTAGATGATTTTAAAGATTTGGAACAATAAAAAGCTCTCCGATATTAATTTTGAATTTTGTGCAGTGGTCACAAATTTGAGCAGCTATAGATTATAGATAGAAAGCATTTATTGCCTCTGAATTTAAAATGTGCTCTCCCAAAGGAAAAGATGGAAGTTCCATCCATTGCTTTACTTGAATGTGCAGTTAACGCGTGCACAACCCAGGGAAGAGGAAAGTTGCGGACATCAGAGTTCCAGCTAAGCAAGAAACAGGAGCAGATCTCTTTCCACTGGCATCTCTTGTGCTCAGATTTGCACAATATATCCACTACTGCACTTAAAAATGAACTGGGAGGATTGTCAGAGGAGTATTGCAAAGACGGTTCCAAAGAACGTTCAGCTTTTTGTCTTCTGCTCTAAGTCTCTTCAGCAAGGCTGTTTTGAAAAGCAATAAATCGTTTGCAATAAATCTGGCTGTGCTTTTCTGCAGAAACACAATACAAGTTCCAACATCCAGGTGGAAAAGCAGCATCGCGGGTAGCAAAATTCAGTATCGAGAAGCTGTAAGCCCTGACATGGCCACAAAAATCTGGGAAAATCCCAAGCAGCAAGCAAATTCACCCTGCAAAATGAGACTTCTATGGGAGATGTATATGAGTGCATGTCTATGTTGATAGACTGAAAGCCTACAACAGGCAATATTAAACAGAATTGCTATTAGCATCATTTTGTCTCTGAAATGTGTGTTAGTTGGGCTTCTTGCTGTTTAAAGATAAAGCAGCATATTTTCCTAGCCGTACGATTAATTTTACCAGTAACCTAGGATGCAAAACATTGGGTGAATAGGTTTTTTTGCTGGGATCTCAAGAAGACAGGGAATGTGAGCAAATATTAATATGAAAAAATTTATTCTAGGAGGCATGCAGACCCCGAGGGCACAGGATAGTTAATAATGAGCTCTCTAATAAAAAACAGTCCCAAAAATTACAAGTCTGAAAGAGACTGCATTAAAAGAACCTTTTCTTCTTCCTTGCTACTTCCAAGTCATCTATGTAGAGGCTTGAAAGATTATTAAAATAAGTTAATAGTCCCCTGTGTTTTGTCTACCTGAGGAAGCTGAAACAAGACCCTGGCTGAACAGGAAATGTACAATAAATCCCATTTTTATGACTCTGTAAGTCAATGATTTTATGGTTTTAGTACCAGCAGTGTAAGAAGTATTTTAGGGGTTTGGTTTTGGCGAGTTTCTTGGTTCTTTCTGGTTTGTGATTTTGTGTCTGTTTTTTTAAGGCAGTGTACATAAGCGAATTAAATTGTATGCAATCCTGAGATTGCTATAGAAAGGTTCAGGAAAGCGAAAACCTGTTCTTCAGAAGTATTTTTATCGCAGCTAGTTTTCTTCTTAGGAACAGTCTGAATAGATATGGGCATGCTTGCACTTTTTTTCAGTTGGAATGGGCAGGAGCAGACCATAAAACATAGTACCTGGTTTATAAACAGCAGCCCACTGGGCACTTGGGCAGCCTGAACCAGTAAGATGATGGGAAGCCCACCAAGCAGAGGACGGGCTTGTGTCTTCTCTGAACACTGTCGCAGGTTGCTGGTCTGAAGGGTCTGGCAGAACATGCAAACTGAAGGGGAAAAGGTGACTTATAATAGTGTCACCTAGAGCTTTCAGCCTAACGCCAGCTGTTCCCTACGAGTGCCAGTGGGGTTTATGGTATCTAAAATATAAATGTGCCATACAACATGGGCCCTTTATCATCAGAGTAGTTGTTAGACCGGGAAAAATGACACATCTGTTCTGCATTTTATTTCCTGATCTTTCCTCTAACTTTCCCTTTCTGAATTTCACCTCTTCCGTGTTAGTTTTAGGCATGTACTCATTTCTCAACAGGTTGTAACGGACTATGGAGTTACACACATCCACAGTATCTACTTACTGTCATTTCTCTTAGAAATGTAAATACAGATTCGTTGATCTGCTGAACTCTGCCCCAAGCCAGAGTAGATGCTACCTGGTTTGAGCTGGGCTCTCGTCCTCCCTGTGCCTCCTCTGGCCTATAAACACCCTCTGCCTCATAGAGGTAAGCTGCTGGGATGTCTATATGGGGATGCTTTATGTACCTAAAGCACTCCAGGATAGAACTGATGCTAACAAATGCACTCAGGAGTGCCTTGGCTACAACCCATTCGTCTTGGCCAAACCCCTATGCATTGCTTACTGTTGCAAAGAAGGCTTCAAATGTCAATTTTATTTTTAATAAGGTAAATTTCTATTCAGTAATTTACTTCTTCCAGCTTAAACTTTAAAATATATACATTTACATATTTTAAGCCACAAAGTTTTGCTAGTGTGCAGTTCAAACAGCTGAGCTGGACATCAGAGCATCTCAGAAAGCCCCCTCTTGCTCCTTAAGCCCGTTGCTGTTTATCTGACTCCCACAAGAGAAAAACAAGCAGAGACGGGGGAAAAATAGACACTATGTAAGGAAAGAACCAACAAAGGAATAAATTAATGCCAGCCGTCTGGAAGCAGTTCCTTCTTTAGCTTCCTTTTGGGGAAGCGTGCAGGAACAAAGCCCTCAATCCCTTTTCATGTTCTCTGCAGCCCTCCTCATGCTGCTACACTTCTGTACCCAAATAAAGTCACTCCGCCATCCGCAGAGCTGTGAGGGTCATCCAGCCACCTCCCACTGAAATCCATCCTCATGGCACCACAAGGCCACTGAGTTGTTTGGTTTTGGGTTTTTTTGTTTTGGTTTGGTTTTTTTGTTGTTTGTTTGTTTTTTTTTAATGGGGTTGTAGATAAGTAACTGAGGGCAGTTTGGCCTCAGGCTGTGTTTTGCTCTGTTGTGGCTTACCGTGGTTCTTGCAGGATGTAATAACAATAATAAACTTTTTCTGTAATTTTCGTATGAGCTACTCTGGGGGGCAAATCCTTGCCTTAGGCCTCAGCCCCACTGAGGGCTTACTTATTCTAGGAAATGACTTTGTGTGATACTATGGGCTGTAGTACTATTCTTTAAACTTCTAGGTCTGTACCACCCCCTCAAAGCCCACCATGAAACTCACAGGCAGGCAGTGCTGATCCCAGCCCGCTGCCTGGGCACGCTTTTATTAAGAAATTCCTGCTAGTCATACATAACATCGAGCTGATGTAATGATAATACAATAATTTGACTAGCCCCTTTTGGAGTTGTACAAGATTAGAAATCCGATTATTGTCACCACCCACCCCCAAAGGTTTAACATTGCCCCTGTTGATGCAAGCTGTAGAAAGAAATTTTGTTTTCTTCCTAAATCTTAAGAAGGTGCAGTAGAGAAAGCAATGAAATTCCCAGCAGTGATGCGGTGGCACCCAAAGTAAAAAATACTTTCCTGCCAAACCTTTTTGATTACATACGAGCTTTGGGTGAAAATCCGTGCATCGTTTGTGCGGTCATCTGGAAAGCGTGCACCCTCGGGGCCGCGTGGCGCAAGCACAGACAGCCTGGGGAGGGGCGAGCAAATCTCGTCACCTCTCCCATACCAGTCCTCCCTCTGCAAAATGGGGGTGGTCGTTTTGACCTCTCTCATACGGTATTTTGAGACTAGTGGCAAATTCTGGAAAACGCAGCACTTGGTTTGTTCAGCTAACATATGAACTCCACCTTCATCATTTTAAGTACGTATGTGTATTTTAGTTTCAATTAGCAATTTTGGTGTTTTGCAGCAACTGCGTGGGAAGACAGAGAGCAGCTTGTTACTTTGCTCTCTTCTTCCAACCATTTGATATTCCCTCTAGCGTAACCTCTCCTCGTGCAGGGCAAAGCACTGTGACCACGCTTGTTGTAACACAGATTGCCTTTGCCAAGTTTCAGCCAGAGGTGACTTTTTTGCCACCAGATATAAGCCGATTTATACTGGAAACGCCGAGGGGTAATTAACGCTGTCAGCTCCACTGGCCGGCAGCCCCCCATCCCGCTTTCCCCCCCTCCCCGCTGGCAGCCGCTGCTCGCCTGGGCGCTGGCACCGGCTGCCTCCCCCGGTGCAATGGCAGGAAGGGCTCGCCAGTGCAGCAGGATGGCGGGCGATGCTCTGCCAGCTAAACGCATAGGAGGTACCTTCACACCCACGCTGGAAGATTTAAAGCCAGATCTCATGGGGACGTATGTTAGTGCTTGTAAGGTTGTGGGGATGTCAGCATTTGCTGTGCTGAGAAAGTAGCTGCAGTATTTTTACTGTTTAAAAAAAGAAGTGCGAGGTCATCTCATGTAGATCACGACTTGGGGTTAAAAAATTAAACGTATTTAAGTGATAGCCTTATAGCACGCATGGGAATATTCAACACATCGATGCTTTTTTTTTTCTACAAAGCACAGGAAATTATTTTAAAGCAGTTCTGTGTAATTATCAATTCTAAAACAGATTGGAGGTGATCTGAAAAATTATTCCCAGAAATAAAACACAGAAAAGTTCATGTTGAAGAGGAAAAGTAGGAACTAGAGGTCATTCGTGTTGCTGGTTCTTGCATCGCTCTGGCCCATCTTGCTCAACTCGGATACCCTGGGATGCGCTGCTCCCACATCCATCATCGCTGCCGGGTAAGGTCCTGCAGAGAAAGTCAGCGTATTCAGTTCCCAACCCAGCTGGGTGAGGTTTTTATTACACCGCATACTTTTTCAACATGTATTTTACACTACAAGAGGAAATTCAAGCCTTGGACTTTGCTATGACTTAATTTGAGGAGCTGAGAGGGTGAGTCAAACCAGATCTCTCTCTAATTCCCCCTGCAGATGAAGGAGCTCCCCTTTGCTTACCCTCATTGCTATTTTGCAAGCCTGGGGGCAGGCTCAGGGGCATGGGCAGCCTGACTGACAGCTCCTGAGGCTGTCACACGTGTATGGACGTTTCTACTTGTCTCTGAGGCCCAAAGTTTCTTCTGGAAGTGCAGGGAACAATTCAGCCCTTGAAATTAGCACCCGACTGCAGAAGTGAGCAAATAAAAGGCCAAGTACTTCTGTGGGGATGCTGAAACATGCACGTGGTACCCCTGCTCCATGGGCTTTATTACAACTCCCTGTTTGCTTGATGTGTGCCATCACTGGAGCCAACAGGACTTTTGCAGCTGAGTTAAAGGGATCAAGGTTTCATCTGCAGTGATAAAGTTAAAAAATGCAAAAAAGCCTTTCCAGGCATAGGACCCTGCATTTCTGAGTCTGCATCTATGGTTGCTTTCGTAACCCATTCAGATTTTTGGTCTGGTTTCAAGCCCTGGCTGCTGGTAGGTGTGTATCTACTCACAGATTTGATTTAATGGCAGAAACTGAAATAATAAACCTGCTAATACCACAGTAAACCTAAACCAAACACATGATCAAGCACTTGCTCCGTACCTTTATAACTAGGAAGAATTTATTCAGTTAATAAATGCTAGTTTGTTTGTATCAAGGTTCTTTTTGCAGAGCAGGTAGGACGCACTGTGTTGCGCCATTGCTCTGCAAGCTATTTAAACATCAATATATGGCTTTTTTTTTTTTTAACCTTATGAAAAGAAAGCACCTCTAGCCCAGCTGACTTAATCTCTTCTTTTAAGCCTCTCACCGTCCTTACAGGGTCCCACGCAACCCTTTCAAGGCGCTTTCCACCATCTCCTCTTCCCTCGCCTTTCCCTCCCCGGCTGCTGCGCCGCGCACAGCGCTGCGCGCAAACGCAGGCATTTCCCGCGTAGTGCTGCGCGCATCGCTCGCCTCCGGGCGATCCCGCCGAGATCAATGCATTAATTAATGCCGTGGCCGCAGCGACGCTTTTACTTTCTTCCCGAAGCAAACGCTCGCCGCTCCCAGCGGCGGGAAAGAATTCCTTTCTTTCTCGTTTCCTGCGTACAACGCGGACCCTTTCCCCCTCCCGCCCCCGCGGCGCGGCGCGGCGGCCGCCC